AGTCTACACCCTCTGGGAAGCGTGACCATACCTCTAGCTGACATTCGAGGGAGGACCTATCAGGAGAAGTGGTACCCCATCACTCCATATAAGGCGTCAGGCTCAGCAGGGAACAAAGAAGCTCTGGGGCCGCAGGCGTCACTCCGCATCAAGGCCCGTTTCCAGAACTTGCAAGTTCTGCCGATGGAGAAATACAAAGAGTTTGCCGAGTATGTGACTGTGGATTATGTAGAAATGTGCAGAAACTTGGAGCCACTTCTGAATGTGAAGGAGAAGGAAGAGCTGGCAGGAGCTCTCGTCCACGTACTCCAGAGCATCGGCAAGGCCAAGGTAAAGAATGAGCATAAATGTAATTTTTTTAATGCAATTTATGAATCAAACTTTATTTTTTCACAATATGTATCAAAAATACAACCGGAAGCATATTCAGACGTAAGTTTTTATTCCTTAGGAATTCCTCATTGATTTGGGCAACGATGAGGTGGAGCGTCTTGGAGAAAAAGAAGCAATGATCTTCAGAGAGAACACACTGGCCACTAAAGCTATAGATGAATATATGAAGCTGGTTGGTCAGAAGTACCTCATCGACACACTAGGTAGGGCAGATCAGTCGTAAAGGTGGCTGCTTGTATTCAACCGTACTGGATTTTCCTGAAGTCTATGCTTTCTTTTCAATACAGGAGAATTCATCAACCGTCTATATGCATCGACTGAGAACTGTGAAGTTGACCCTCGTAAATGTCCTGCGGCTGAACTGTCAAGCAACCAGAAGCACTTGAGGGAAACCTGTGAGGAGGTGGTGCAGAAGATCATTGAGCTCCATGGGTGAGAGAAATCAGCTTAACATACAATAAATGATTTGGGCATCTCTCACATTCAGAGATCTCATACTTGACATGCTTCTTTCCACTAGGCCTTTTCCTGAAGAGTTAAACAGGATCTTCTCCAGCTGGGTGGAGGTGTGTGAAGACCAGGGCAAACCGGAGATTGGCCATCGGCTCATCTCTGCTTCCCTCTTCCTTCGTTTCTTGTGTCCTGCTATCCTCAGTCCTTCCCTTTTTGGTCTGACGCAACCGTACCCGGAGCCAAACACCCTGCGTACCCTTACGTTGACAGCCAAAGTCATCCAGAATCTGGCCAACTTCACCTTGTCAGTAGTTTATGTCACGTTTGTGCATTTGTTCCTTGGCAAATTGTTTGCTTTTGTTTGTTTGTTTTGGCATACTGAAAGATATAATCTGGGAATATGGATAAAGATATTTTTGTTGCACATATACAATAACAATAAAGGGCCTGAAATAAATACCTAAAGTAAATTAAATTTGTTGTTCTTACTTAGGTTCGGGGAAAAGGAGGAGTACATGCTCTTCATGAATGAATTCCTGGAGCAGCACTGGGATGGAATGAGAGGCTTCCTACAAACGGTGTCGAGTGGAGACACTGAGATTGCAATGACGTCCTTTGACGGCTATGTGGATTTGCCTCTGCGTTTGGCTGTGCTCCATGGACTGCTGGTGGACATCATCTACCAGAAGGACCAGGTAGGCAGGCAAACATTAGTCCAGTTTGGTAGTTAGTTTTAAAGGAATTGTGTAACGCTTGCATTGCATGGCTCCACTAGCTAGCTTAACCACAGTGGAAGACAATTTATAAGCAGCTATCAGGGGGATACTTATAATTATAGAGTTTAT